TGCAAATAGGTAAAAGGAAAAAAACTAGGGGAGCCACAGAATGAATCCAGGTCAGCAGACTGCAAGGTGGCAGGTTCCTTGCAGAACTCCAGCAAGTTCTTCCGAAAGATGAAGTTACCCAGAAAGCATCCAAGCAGGTCAATGTAATGACTTGTTTATAAAAACCTTTACAGTGCAGGTGCACTATTGAAGCAATTCTACACAGAAAGAAACAGAATCCCCTACGCGTAATTCTTTTGCATCAAAAAGAGGTAATTAATCACTAAAAGCAGCACATTTAAGCATTCTGGGTCTGCCCATCCTGTCACTGAGTTTTGTGGTTTGTAATTAAATTTGGTTGTTTAGGACAAGGATTTTATAGAAAGACCATAACAGAATATTCTTAATGTTGACATTTACATTTTGTGAAGAACTTCGTAATGTGGTTTTACTTATATGCATTCATTTAAATTTAGGCTTAGAGCTGCGTGAATCATATGGAACAAATATTTCCAGTTAACCATCAATGGAGCACAGGGGGACATTGCCTAAAGGTCTTCTGACAGAAGGTTAAAGTTGAAAGAGTTCTTTGTCCTAACAACCCAATAGAATCGTAATTTTGGTGACTACAGTACTCCTGTTCAATATTTGGAAGTAGTCTACAAAGTTATAACACAGCAAGATTTCAACCAATGTTGTTACATAGGAAACCGCAAGTCTTGGTCAAAGAGCAATGAAGCTTCCACTTTCTGCTGACGCTTTCAAACATTTCTTAACGTACTGTATGTCCTTAAGGCAGCTGAATAATAACTCTGGTCTGCATTACAATGTTAACAGACTTCCTTAACTCTGGAACCACTACACCATGGCATAGATAGCACCCTTAGTGTCATCTCACGCTACCCTCAAACTAACCATATGTTCTTATTTAAGTTGGATCCTTAGAAAAGAAACTTGGCAAATAGGTAGGATTTTTAATGCAGAAGTGACATACTATGGGGTTGATTTGCTAACACATCAAAGCCGATTTTGAAATTGTGCGAATTACCGTGAAGTCGCACGATTTCAAAGTAGGGTGACTTGCCTATTTGAGGTGCGATTTCCAAGACATCTGACACAGATGTCTATGCAAATTGCAACAAAAGTACTGCATGCACTACTTTAGAAATCGGTGCGGCTCTGAACAAGTTGGAACCGCAACGATATGACCGCTCTAATAGCGGACAATAGGGTTCGATTTGGCATAAGATTTGCAAGTCGCATGGCGTGCAAATCGCACCCGATGTGACTGAGGTGTTAAACTGGAAAGTACAAAATCTGGTGCAGTTGTGCACAGAAACCAATCAACTTTGATAAACAAACCAATCAGGTTTATCAAAGCGTAAAGGAGAAGTACAGCCAACGCTCTTTTGGCTGTACTTCTCCTATGGATCACAGGAGTGAGCGTTCCTTCTGCACTCCTGTGACCTATTTTAAGCCGACAGCAGGCTGAAGCCCACTGTCTGCTGATGTCACTTAGCTGGTCCAAGCTGGGGAAAGATCCTGACTTCAAAGTCGAGATCCACCCCAGAATCTGGAGCACCACCTGGCTCAGCCTCTCAGCAAGCCAGTACCTGGCTCAGCCTCTCAGCAAGCTGCAGAAAGCCTGAGCCAACAGCACTCTCCCTTTCCACAGCCCAGCACTCCAGTGAGCACTGGGGGGGGGGGCAGAGCAGAAAGCAGTGACTGACAGCCATCGCTCACACTTCGAGCCGACAGTCGACAAATGCATCCACGAAGGTAAGTATAATGGAGGGAAAAAAAAAAAAAGCCCTACTTCTCTTTTAATTGAACAAGCTGAACTTAGAAGCTGATTGGCTACCATGCACAGCTGCACCAGATTTTGCACTCTCCCATTTTAGTAAATCAACCCATATGTCTTCTCTACAATAAAGTTTCTTTCCTGCCTGTCTACTAAGCTGTGGATGAATGACCTTCCGCACATGAGCGGGACTGACGTTATCTCGGCATGACCAATGAAATGAATATGGCTGAAGATCAGTACCAGGAAGCAGTCTGGCTGAAGGTGTCAGTGGCCAGCAGAGACCTCCAGGACATTGCAAGTGTAATTCGGCTTTAAATATTATGCACAGCTTCCCTATTCTGATTTGCAATCTTATTTGACCCTCAAAACCTCAGACTACCAAAAATACCTCCCACCTACAAGAATCATTGAAACAATGGGATTCGCATCAAATGTAACTGTAAATATTATTTACAGTTATAGCTCTTGAAACCAGTAATTTCTTGCATATATCTGCACAATTTCTTTTGTTTTAACCTGGATTTTGAAAATACTTTGATAAAATTTCATTGAACAAAACAATGGGATTCAGGCAAACACTCAAGCATCTATTTCTCCTTTCATTCCTCCTACTCTTTGAGAGCTGCCTAGCAGCAGATCGTGGTCCACTAAGGGCATCAAATACATCTAAGATCTCCTTTTGCTGGATGCTATAAAGTTGTGAAATGGGATATATAGAGGATGGGTAGATGATTGAAAGATCTGCCCCCTCCATTCATAGATCATATTCCATTTATAGAAGCTGTAGCAGGGCTTCTATGAATGCATGAATGCAGCAGCTGGGCAAAAAGGGCGGGCATAGTTGGGCACTCTTAAGAAGAGCCTGTGACAGCTCCAACAGTTCTATTAACCCCCCCACAGCAGCAAATTGCAGTGGCGGGGGGGTGTGGGTATGAACAGAGGAGGATTCAACCCAATCAGAACAAGGGACACATACTACTGACTGTAAGTAATATCCCTTGTGGTGTTTTTTTTTGTTTTTTATTTTAGCTGCACTTAAGATTTTAACATTACTGCTTTCCGTAAACATTGTGGGTGCTAATTATAAATAAAATAACTTATATAAAAGAGTAATTTTACGACATGCATCTCTAATTTGATTAAATCTGCAAAATTTCCACATAACTTGGAAACATTTGTTATCAATTACGAAGTCCGAATTTGTCCTTCCATCTTTTTGGAGGGTCTGTACTGCAATAAATCCCTCATCTGACTACATCAATTTTCCTTGGTCTTTGGAAAGTACATTATTTGTGGATAGACGCATCCGCACCTTCGTTGATTCTGTCTTACTCCTCCTGGCATGCTGTCTGTATTTCCACAAGGCTGCCGCGCCAGACCTGACAAGTCTCATTCCGCATTTTAACACTAATCGCACAGTGATCTTACTTTAAAGAGCTTTCCCAGTCAAATTTACTAGATAAATACTGTATTTGAGGCAGGACAAGCTTCTACATAAATGCTAAAAAGAAACCAGTCACGATTTAAGCAAGACCAAAGAAAACTCATGCTTAAGTTATTATAATTGCGCAAGGCTATTTATGAAAGATTAATATCTGACCTTAGCTTAACTTACTTGAAACTAATTTCGCAAATTTTTATACGAGGAAAAGAAACTTTATTTTTGGACATTTCAAATTGTGTTAAAAAAAAAACTGTCGCTTTTATAAGGATCCTTATTCTGGTGTGCTCAATTTTTGAATTGAGGCTACTGTCTGAAGACAATTCTGTAGGTGAGTGTTCCCTCTGAGATTTGACACTTGCAGCCCTGTCAGCTGCCTGATTTTAGGATGACAGGACATGCTGTCTGCCACCTTCTGAGTGCGATAAACGTATCAAATAACAGAACTCTCTAGTTGTTTTTAAAGGATTTTTTTTTAACCGCTTTCCCACCGCCCTATAGCAGAAATACTGCTTCAGGGCAGCAGGGGTGCGCAAAATCACGTATATATACATGATTTTGCATTTCCAGGTAGGGGGCACATGCCCTACCCGTGCCAACATTCACGGCCTCGGCTGTCAATCACCGGGTCCCGGACGGTGATTACTCTCCAGCACCCGGTGATTGCCGAGTATTACCGACAGGGGAGAGAACCGTATGTAAACAATACAAATCTCTCCCCTGACAACTCCTGCACACTGCTTTGTATGGCTCTGCATAGCAGAGCCATACAAAGCAGTGTGCTTATAGTGGAAAGCACACAGCCTAATAGTAAAACACACACAGCACACAGTTAACCCTTTGATCGCCCCAGATGTTAACCCCTTCCTGACCAGTGTTATTAATACAGTGTCAGTGCTTTTTATTAGCACTGATCACTGTATTGGTGTCAATGGGGATGTCAGTGACACCAAGTCAGTTCCCCTCAGTGTCAGAATGCCCACCGCAGTTCCACTGTAAGTCGCTGATCACTGCCATTACTAGTAAACAAAAAAAATGCCAGCATATATACCATTTGTAAACGTTATAACTTTCATGTAAACAATTAATTTCCATGTATTGGGTTTGTTTTTTTTTTTAGAAAAGACATGTAGCAGAATACATTTTGCCCTAAATTTATGACAAAATGTGATTTTTTTAAAATTTTTGGACATGTTTAAGAGCAAAAGGTGAAAAATATAGTTTTTTTTCTCAAAATCGTCAATCTTTTTTTGTTTTATAGCGAAAAAAAAAAAACCGCACAGGCAGTCAAATACCCTGAAAGAAAGCTATTTGTGGGAAAAAAAAAAAGGACGTAAATTTCATTTGGGTGCAGCATTGCATGACCGCGCAATTGTCAAAGTAACACACCTGGTCAGGAAGGGGGGTAAATCCTCTGAAGGGCAAGTGGTTAAAGTAATGCTTGCATCTATAAAAAAAAAAAACACCTCAGATGAGTCAAGGTTGTCATGCAGCCTTCCTTAGCACTTACTCGTTAACACATGAGCACTGCTCAGTCCAGGAAGAAGGCTCACCCACTGCTGCCACCAAGGAAGAATCTGTAATGTCACCAGACTGCTCTGAAGGATAAAAGGTACGTGTAGGATGTTTTACAAAGAACTGTAACATAAGGTCCCGTTTAACTTTAAATACATTTTTAATACGTCTTACTACAATCATCAATAATATAATGGTAGGAGACATATGCAACAAAAATAATGCAGTCTGGGAACTGAAACCATCTTGTCCTTGTGACAGGTCCATGGAAAGATTGCCTACAGGCACTGGAGGATGGACATGACACCAGTGGCATATACCTGGTAAAGCCAGAGAACACCAACAGACTGATGCAAGTGTGGTGCGATCAGCGACACGATCCTGGTGGCTGGACAGTAATCCAAAGAAGAAATGATGGATCGGTCAACTTTTTCCGGAACTGGGAAACATACAAAGTGAGTAAAACTGGGACAACACAAGAAAATTTAAACTATAGGTTAAGCTGCCCCACCAGAGTACCTGGCTTTGTTTCTGCCTACCTTGGAGTTTTGGGTGTTTCTGCCCAGGTAGCAAGTGGGTACTTTTTTTTGGGGGGGGTGGGAATATCCACATTCCCTTTCTTGTACTTTCCAAAACAGCTTACTATAATATTAAAGGTATGCAAATCTTCTTGTTTCCTGTGCTGAAAATGAAGCTGCCTTTTTCCTACTTCAAATTTTAAAGTCTGACAAGTCACTTTGCATAGTTTGCAAGTTTGCAAATAGTCAGAGGCAATCGAGTGACCAACCATACCGTACTTGAGAAGGGGTCTCTTATTGTAGCAACTTTTTCTAAAGGATAAGTTCGTCTTTTGTGACACCTGTATTTAGGATGTGACATGTTACTGTACAGCACCTGCCTGCACCCCCAACCCCCCCTTCCCCATCATGACAGCAGGTGGGGGATCTTCTCCCTGCACCCACTGTGTCACAATTTAAAAACACTGTGGCTGTGTGGGGCTCTGCCCACACAGCCGTGTCATTCATTCATAGAGAACTTTGAATGAATTAACTACAAGTCCCATCTGTCACCACAGCAGCTGGCTTGTAGTTCTCAATGAACTGCAAAGGAGCTGGTGAGCGCTCTCATAGTTTATTAATTCTTCCTGCACTTCTGTAACTTTCTGCCCACATGGGAGGTTTGGGCAAACAGCTGTCAGGAGCCTGGCATTGCACCTGTGATCCACTGATCGTGGGTTCAATACTCAGCAGGATGCAGTGCAAAAGAATAAATAAATGCACATATTGTACCAGCTAAATCATGTACTTGTTCCTTTTTTTGTTTTTATAAAAGGTGAACTTAGCCTTTAAAAAGCAAAGCCTAAAACATTGGTAGAAAAATTATCTTTACTTTGTAAAAAAGAAAGAAGAGAAGACAGATTAATTCATGATAAAGAAGATTTTTGTTTATAGTGGAGGGAGGAACACATCATGGGGCGTGGGACATAAGAGACACTGCTGTGAGCCCAGGTCTTGTAGTACTGCACCAAGAAGAAGCTGGGGACAGAGCTGAAGAATGGAGAGGGTAAGTAGAGTTAGCCACATAATTTTGTTTAATAAAAGGAGGGGGGGGGGGCAAGTAATCGAAAAACTATAGTTATAGTTAATAAAGACACAACTTTTGGCACCTTCTTTTTGTCCCTTAGCCAGACACAAGTCTAAAAATGGTTCTAAAATGCATAATTTTAAATAAATACAAAAAGAAGCAATGAAATGAAATTGTTAAATAAATACAAATTTAAAAAATATATTTTTTTCTTGACAAACTTGACTTGAAATAGCTTTGTAAATTGCCAGGATACATATTGAAAGTAATTAAAGCTTTGCAGTGTTATTGGGGTAATTGACTTGAAGATAAAAAATCCAGACAAGCTTTTTCCTAAGTTTGCTTTGTTTCTACAATTGAAAATGTATCTTTTGTGCATGAAGTGTATTTATACCGTGCTCATCATTAATAAAGTACTAAAAAGCAGCATTACACATTTAACACCATCTTTGTTTTTTCCCCAAAACAGCAAGGATTTGGTAACATTGATGGAGAGTATTGGCTTGGACTAGAAAACATCTACTGGCTAACTAATCAAGGCAACTACAAATTACTAGTTACCATGGAAGACTGGCAGGGACGCAAGGTGTTTGCTGAATATGCAAGTTTCCGCCTGGAACCTGAAAGTGAATTTTACAAATTGAGACTTGGCCGTTATAACGGCAATGCTGGGGACTCGTTCACTTGGCATAACGGAAAACAGTTCACCACCCTGGATAGGGATCATGATGTGTACACAGGTAACAATTCTGTAACATGCTGCTTATATTCATTTTATGAGTGATAATATTTAATATCAGGAGCTGTGAAAATAATTAAAATGAATCAACTAACCTTACATTGTGATAACAGCTAAGATACAACCCAACAAGTAAACAAAAAAATCTTACTCATTTTATATGTACACACAACCCATTCGTGGATGTTGTATTATTACAAATCTGACTGCAAAACTGTTTAACTTGCCAACATTTTTGGAATAATCACTTGTAAAATATAAAAAAGTTTAGTACAGTTAGTAGTAACCTTAATAATTTTCCACGGCAATTAAGCAAAAATTGCTTGGCCCATGACCTGCTTCCTGCCTACCAATGAGAGAGAAAGAGTACCAACAATCTCACTCAGGTCTTTGTCAGGTTTTACTATTGTGTGTGTCCACTGGGTAAGATTTCCAAGACTTGTGTGTTCCATGAAATAGGAAATAATAGGAAATCACTCCACGGGGGCAGAGACAGCTACAAAACCTTACAGATGTTCAACCTTTCCCGTATTATCTAAATTTAAATTTAAAAAAATGTTTTTGTTAAGTTAGTACTTCTAAGCAGCATATTTAAAAGTTTCTTTCCAGTAGTTAAATGGTGCCACATTCTATGAAATAATGTACTTACTCAAATGTGAAAGTCACGGCTAAAGTATAAAAGAATAAAAAGCAAACACTTAAAAGTAGAGTAGTGTACATTTTGTTTTAATATACTAATTTAAACAAAGAAAAAAACACAAGTGTAATTAGCAAATAAACCGAACAAGACTTTATAATATAGCCCAGCCACCAGATGTATATTAGAAGTCCTAAATAAATGTATACTTATTTCTAGAAGTCCAATTTTTCAGTGAAAGACCTTTCAGCTCAAAATGGTACAGATAAACTGATAGTCCACAAGTTTGGGGAGGGGGGGGGTTTAAACCTGATCACTTGCAAATAATTTGTGTTCTATTTTAGGCAATTGTGCCCATTACCAGAAGGGAGGATGGTGGTACAACGCATGCGCTCACTCCAACCTCAATGGTGTATGGTACAGAGGAGGGCACTATCGTAGCCGCTACCAAGACGGTGTTTACTGGGCTGAGTTTCGAGGTGGATCCTACTCACTGAAGAAAGTTGTCATGATGATCAGACCCAATCCTAACACTTTCCACTGAATTCAGGACTTATTAACATGAAAATCAAAAAGACTCTCCTACTTTGGAAGCACTCCCATGCAGCAGTTTTTGGTTTAAGATGTGCCAGAGAATCTCATGACATGCATAGACTAAAACTGTCCACTCCAGTACTGTAAGATGTTGAATGTCTACTTTACCAAGTCCTTTGACATCTCTCAAAAAAACAACCATTCCCTTGACCTCTGTATTCATATGTCTTACCAAATCTATCTCAGAATACCAAAAGTGGCCAAGAAATCTCAATTACCATTGAGTTTACATTACTTTCTCCTTCTAAATCAAAATCACTCTTTAGAAAACAAAAACAGGAAAACATATCTATATATGTCACATATGTAGGCCATAGTTTAGAACATTTTAAAGTACTATGTACTGCAAAAACATTTGTATTATCACTTTGTTTTGTTGTTTTTTGACACAGGACATGACCTCCAATGAATTGATGTAGAACAAAACTAAGACGCTATAGAAAGTTACTTTCAATACTTTATATTATATTCATTTACTGACAATAGCAAAGACATTTGGCAAAAACATATGGTTTAAAAAAAACATAAGCAACCAAGGCTACCCAAAACCAAAAGGGAGCCATTTTTTACCCTCCGAGGACTATTTTCAGGATTAATTTTTCTACGGATGCTTCACAATGTACTGTAAATGTACTGTAACCATCTCACTTCCATTCTGTAATGTCCTACACAAAAGTGTAGAATCAGGGAACTATGGGCTGGGTTATAAAAGAAATAAACCGTAGGAAGGGAAAATTGTTGTTTCCTGGAACAACTAATCAGTTACTTTTGTTTTTTATCCTCTGCTGCAAAACCAGCACCTGGACTCTGATTGGTTGCTACAGGTACCACATATGTTTTCTTTTCCTTCTTTCTTTATAAAACCTCCCTTGTATTTTGCTATAACCAAAAACATTACCTGTACAGTATTTAGATGAATATGTAAATATATATTTTTTACAAATACATGACATATGCTACAATCTACGTCATCTGCATAAAAAAGAAAACATGTAAATTGTGTTCATAACTTTTTTATTTGTCTGTCATTCTCCCAACACTTTCTTTACGGATGACTGTTAGAACCAAATAAAAAAAAAAGGTATCCACCTTTGCAGGCAAACGTTGGGTGCCAAGCAGTAAAAATATTTAATGTTTCAGTGTATATGAAAGATAAGCGCAACAACTTCCAAGCAGCGAGCCTTTGACAAAAACTGTAATTCAAAAATACTGAATGGAAAAAAAAAAAAGAATCCTCCATCCACCTCATTTGTGTGGTTGAAGGAATCTGTTAGCTTTTTTTTCATTCATCAGCCAGCTGGCTGAATGAAAAAACTAACAGCGTGTAACCAGCTTTAGGCTAAAATTAGGTTTTACCTCCTGCTTTATGAGTCTAAACGGCTACACTAAAAAGCCAGCAGCAATCAAACTAGAAATTACCTTAGCATCTGCACCCCCTACAGCTACAAATTTTGCAAGCTCTTTCTGGAAATAGTATTGAAATAGCTTTAACTGAAAAATATTTTTATAACTGATTAGCATTTTGGCCACTAGTATTACCATGAAAACAGTCATTTTCCCCCAAAGGTTTAGGGTTACTGTTGGAGTGGGGGTTACTTGAGGCAAAGGATCAGTAAATGACTATTACTGTTTCCAGTGAGTAAAATTAATTTTTTGAAAATGAGAACTTACAGGACATGCAATGAAAGTTATTTTATTTCCCAGAGATCAAAAAAAACAACGAGGATGCAAGGGTACAGATAATAAACTGATTTCACCAGAGGGAACAAGCGTAGCATACCCACAAGTGATGCGGAGAAGTAAGATGTTAACTAGGGACGCTGATCTCTTTGTGGACAAGGCGGCTGTAAGTGCTTATTGTTGCTTTAGTGCAATAACTTATTTAAAACTTTTTTTTGAATGGGGATGGTATGTAGTCTTTTTTTGACAGGATAGGTGCACTTTAAGTTGTTCAATTCTAGAAATAGTAGATTAACATATATTGTGGTAGAAAGGCACGTTTCATTTCACCTGCCCACTCTCCAGAGATCAACATAAGGCAATGTAGATATGCCATACATCACTGCGGTTCACATTTTGCCACATGGCACTTTTAGACTTGTCATAGAATGGCACTTCATTATGAATCCAGGTTTGTCATCCCATATTGTTTCATATGACAGGTTTTTTTATTTTCATTTTTTGTGTACTACCAACTGCTTGTTGTAAAGAGTTGTCAATAAAAATGGAAAAGAAAATCCTATTTTTACGAAGCTGTGTTATTTGTACTATATAATAGGCATCAGGTTTATAAGGAGGGATATATCAGGAACCTTACAAATGAATTCCACTGAAGCTTCACCCCAAATTTATTAGCCCTAATTGTACTCCAGCAAGGTTTAACCCCTTCCAGATTTAAACTGTTGCCCCTGAATCCTGGCAGGGAAATCTCACCCTTCCCCATTTTATAATATTCAGAGCTTGGCTTTGATGTGAACTTGTGGTATTATGGGAGCACCAGTACCCTTATAGGTGCTTTAAAGAAAAATTTGGAGAATGTGCTGTAGAGAAGGAAACTCGGAAACTCATGGAACAACGGATTAACAGTAAAAATCTGATAGGGGGTTTAAAGCCCTCTTCCCTCCAAAATGTGAAAAAATAGGTTTTAAAAGAAAAAAAATAGTAAACCTGTACTTTGTCAGGCCTTGAATGTCCACTGTAGATTTTTATGGCATCCAACATTTTAAACCAGGTCTCTTGAAGAGTAGCTCCTATTGTCACTAATATGTACAGGTGAAGCTCCTCTTATACTTCTGAAAAGGTCACTAATTTCATCTGGTGCAGGTCAACAAACTACAGTTGCAAGAAAAAGTATGTGAACCCCTTGGGATTACGTGGAGTTTTGCATGAATTGGGCATAAAACGTGCTCTGAACGTCATCTAAGTCACAACAATAGAAGAACACAGTCTGCTGAACATAATACTACACAAACATTAGATGTTGCCATGGTTTAATTGCACATAACATGTAAACATTCACAGTGCAGGGAGGAAAAAGTATGTGAGACCCTAGCTTAATGACTTCTCCCAGAGCTAATTGGAGCCAGGAGTGAGCCAACCTTGACTCCAATCAGTGTGATGATATTGGATGTGTTGCTGACAGCTGTCCTGCCCTTAAAAAATACACACCTGTTTTGGGTTTACTGCTTTCAAGAAGCACTGTCTGATGTGAACCATGCCTTGCAGAAAAGAGCTCTCAGAAGAACTACGATCAAGAATTGTTGACTTGCATGAAGCTGGAAAGGGTTACAAAAGTATCTCCTTGAGCCTTGATGTTCATGTGTCCACGGTAAGACAGACTGTCTACAAATGGAGAAAGTTTAGCACTGTTGCTACTCTCCCTATGCATGGTCGTCCTGTAAAAATGACTGCAAGAGCACAACGCAGAATGCTGCATGAGGTAAAGAAGAATCCCAGAGTGTCAGCTAAAGACCTACAGAAAACATGCTAACATTTTTGTTGACACATCTACAATAAGGAAAACATTAAACAAGAATGGAGTACATGGGAGGACACCACGGAGGAAGCCATTGCTGTCCAAAAAGAATATTGCAGCACGTTTGAAGTTTGCAAAAAGCACCTGGATGTTCCACAGCACTACTGCAGAATATACTGTGGACAGATGAAACCAAGATTGAGTTGTTTGGGAAGAACACACAACACTATGTGTGGAGAAAAAAAGGCACAGCACACCAACATCAAAACCTCATCCCCCCTGTAAAACATGGCGGAGGGAGCATCATGGTTTGGGGCTGCTTTGCTGCCTCAGGGCCTGGACAGATTGTTGTCATTGATGGGAAAATGAATTCCAGAGTTTATCAAGACATTTTGCAGGAAAACGTACGACCATCTGTCCGCCAACTGAAGCTCCGCAGAGGATGGGTGATGCAACAGGACAATGACTCAAAGCATACAAGTAATTCAACAAAACAATGGCTGCAATAGCACAGAATACGCCTTCTGGAGTGGCCCAGTCAGAGTCCTGACCTCAACCCCATTGAAATGCTGTGGTATGACCTTAAGAGAGCGATTCACACCAGACATCCCAAGAATATTGCTACACTGAAACAGTTTTGTGAAGAGGAGTGGTCCAAAATGACTCCAGATCGTTGTGCAGGTCTGATCTGCAACTACAGGAAACGTTTGGTTGAGGTTATTGCTGCCAAAGGAGGGTCAACCAGTTATTAAGTCCAAAGGTTCACATACTTTTTGCTCCCTGCACTGTGAATGTTTACATGTTATGTGCAATTAAACCATGGCAACATCTAATGTTTTGTGTAGTATTATGTTCAGCAGACTGTGTTCTTCTATTGTTGTGATTTAGATGACATTCAGAGCACATTTTATGCCCAATTCATGCAAAACTCCACGTAATCCCAAGGGTTTCACATACTTTTTCTTGCAACTGTAAATATGCAGTTAAAGGTACAGCTCTGACTTTACTAAGCCAGCCCATCAATCCACCAGTCCACATTTCTTCAGGGCAGGTCTGTAAACATGACAGTCACTTGGTGCTGGAGAAGATCCTTCCTCCAAAAGGGTCAAGTGATACAGAAGGGTAATGTAGAGAAAGATGGGGATTCTTTAGCTCTATACAGGTATAGCTTTGGTATTTACAGTATGAAGATACATACTGGGAAAAAATTAAAATGCTAAAAACCTGGATTTCATCAAGACACCAAAGAGCAAAATGTGCTATTTAATTCACAGTGTGTTTCAGGCTCTAGCAAACATTACTGCTTTTGCATTGAAATGATGATAAACAGCATGTGAAGAGTCTGTTCATTCAAAAATGATAATGTAAGCTCAGTCAACTACTTTATTTTAAATGGTGAGGTCTACCTACTAAGATTCCAGCAAAGTACTGCAATGGTGGACCTTTTAAATGGAAGCTAACGATCGTGAGTATTT